AAAAAAACAAAAAAAGAACCAACCTTGTATTCAGCCCCCACTGTACATCAGGCATTATTTCCAGTCCTCACCTCATCTCATTCGGTGAACAGTATTAGCTCCATTTTATGGATGAGAAAACAAAGGTAGGCTGAGTGTCTTGTGCAGGGACACAGGCAATAAGTGGCAGGCCTGGCATGGAATTCACGCATACGACTTCTAAATTGTGTGCTTTATTCGAACTGCGGAGCTGGGGCTTGACTAATACTTGACTACGCCTAAGTTTTTCCCCCAGGAACTTCCTTGATAATTTTCATTAAATAGACCTTACATTTTCAATCCAGTCAAGCCTCTGGGAGATAAGTTAAAAATTCCCTGATGGATAATGACATTAAAAACAGCAACTGTGTACACTGCTTTAAAAGTGTGCCTTCGTGCATTTCTCTTGTGAAATACTGTGACGGCCTTGTGAGGTGGAGCTGATCACATGTGGATTTAGGGGCAGAAACTGGAAGACCACGACCCACCTAGACCACACAGGCAAGAAATGGACCCCCAGGACCAGAATCCCTTCTGACTATAGTTCCTGGTCTCTTCTTGAGTTGTTATTTGCAGAGAAAAAGCATCTCACATAAACAGTTTTACTTCGGTTATCAAAAAGATACTCAATGATCTATATTTCAAAGACTCTAGATTCATGGGAGTTGGGGAAATTTTAAGCATTCGGAATGTATTCTGGAGCATGTCTTTATGTTCTTTATTCTGTAGCCTCCCATGGGTGGGCAGCCGAATGCGTTTTGGGAGACAGCAGGTCTCGTGGATAATATTTCTGAAGATCGGAGCAGGTTGTGTCCAAGTCCATGTTGGCCATGACTGCAGAACGCCCCAGTGGCAGCAGGGGGCACCCTGGAGCTTTGTATCCTCCCTCAGGCCCGCGGCATCTCCCCTGGCTCCACCATCCCGAGGTGCCGAGAAGCCGGGTGTCTCAGGTCGGACGCACGCTGGTTCGCTATGGCCATTTCTGATCAAACACAGAACAAATGGATTGTCCAGATACGGTGTCTGTGAAAGGAGCCCAGCTGTGGGCCTGGGGAGGCAGGTGCCCTGGCAGGGGTGACATTCTTAACCCACAGGGAGGGCCCAGAAGGGACGCGGGAGGTCACCTGCCGTGCAGCATTCGGGGGTCTTGGAGGTGGGCAGCAGCTGTTCACCCGTGGGCGTGGAGGAGCATCAGCGCTTGAACAGCGGAAGCAGCATTTACAGGCCAACACCAGCCCGGCAAGGGCCGGGGGCCCAAGGCTATGGTGTCCAGAGCCTCCCAGCTTCCACTCTGGCCTCCAGTGGCCATGGAATTGCTAACTATGAGGGCACGAGCTTCTCCCAGCAAGTCAAGGGGACGCTATGTGCTGCAACAACGGGTCCGGCCGCCTTGCATTTGGCCTTCCAAGCCCCTCTCTGAGCCCCAGGACTTACCCACACCTGCCGGCCCATGCAGGGTGGACCTAGCCTGCCTCAGTCAGGCCTCACTCCGGAGCCAGGCTTGGTGCAAACTCCCAGCTGAGCTCACACGCTGGCTGCGGTCTGTGATACTTCCCTGGTGGTCTCTGACGGGGCCGTATGGCCTCCCTCTGGAACCCAGGCTGCACACTCCAGGAGCTGGAGGCAGTCAGGCAGAATCAGCCTCTGGTTGCCCGCATGGGGTGTCAGGCGGGGGTAATCCATGGGGGAGCCTGGGGAAAGAGGGCGGGGGTGTGGCACTGGTCTCAGGCTGGGGGAAGGAATTCACACCTGCATGGCTGAGGCTGGTGCCGTCCCCTCTGATCACCGGGATCAGCCTTTCCTTCCCCAGGCTCAATTTGCACCCCCAGCCTGTATGGTTGGCACTGTCTCCCGTGGGGAGCCCCTGCTTGGCTCAGGGGAGACCCCGGTCCAGAGTCTACCTTTGGAGCTGCCCTGGCCTGGGCCTGGCCCTCCGGTGAGGCTGCAGTAGCCAGGAGAGGGCCAGTCAGAAAGGCCGTCTCCCTGCAGGGGTTTCTAGCCAGCAGGCCAGGGGAAGGAAGTTGTCAGGAGTCCTGCGGGGAAGGCCAGGGTTGCAGACGGGGTGGCAGTCAGCTCCATGTAGCTCTGGGACCCAGGTGTGTGGCAGGGCCAGGAGCACGTTCTGCTGCGTTTCCAGACCCGACTCCAGCTCATCTCCTTGAGAGACCCTTTCACCCATCCCGGCCTGCATCTGCCTGTGTCGTCCTTTCCAGCAGCAGCCTTGTGGCTGTGCCTATTCTGTGCCCTCCGAGTTCTAGGTTGAGGGTGAGGATTGGATGAGTTGATCCACGCAAGGCTCCTAGCACAGTGCCTGGCACGTGGTTAAATAGACATGAAGTCGTAATAACCAGGTGTGTGACCCTGTCCTCAGTGTGAGTGCCACAGTGGGGTGGAGAGTGGCAGCTCTGCTGGGCAGGAGCGTAGGGTCTCAGTGACAGGGCTCCCTCATTTCCCTGATAGGGAGAGAGTAAGCTCACTGAATAGTAAGTTGGCTGCATCTTTTCTGTCTGAGCCTCTCAGGGAAGCTTCCTAGAGGGATAAAGTCTTGAGCTTGAACTTGGAGGAGTTTGCGGGTGGCTGGGTTGGGGTGGGGGTGGGATGGGGGTGCCAGCATGCCAGGCAGGGGGAGCAGCATGGGCGAAGGTATGGAGATGGGAGAGGGATCTGGACGGGGTGCCTGTGGCTGCAGCACAGGGCGTGTGTGAGTGGGAAGCAGGTGAAGAGAGGAAGAGCGCAGGGGCTTCTGGGGGCTTCTGGACCCACCGTGGGAGCAGGCCAATGGCTGGCAGGGCTAGGTGGTGCAGGTGCCCTTCATGGATTTGGTCGAAGTGGGCACACATGCTTATGTCAGAGGCATGTAAACCAGAGCAACTCCATCTTGAGTAGGAGCTGGGTAAAATGAGGCTGAGACCTACCGGGCTGCATTCCCAGACGGTGAAGGCATTCTAAGTCACGGGATGAGATAGGAGGTCAGCACAAGATACAGGTCATAATGACCTTGCTGATAAAACAGGTTGCAGTAAAGAAGCTGGTCAAAACCCACCAAAACCTAGATGGGCATGAGAGTGACCTCTGGTCATCCTTGCTGCTACACTCCCACCAGCGCCATGACAGTTTACAAATGCCACAGCTATGTCAGGAAGTTGCCCTATATGGTCTAAAAAGGGTAGGCATGAATAATCCACCCCTTGTTTAGCATATCATCAAGAAATAACCAGAAAAATGTGCAACCAGCAGCCCTTGGGGCTGTTCTGTCTATGGAGTAGTCATTCTCTATTCCTTTCCTTTCCTAATAAACTTGATTTCACTTTACGGACTCGCCCTGAATTCTTTCTTGCGTGAGATCCAAGAACCCTCTCCTGGGGTCTGGATCGGGACCCCTTTCCTGTAACCCTTACAGCTCTGTACACCTTGCGGGTCTTGGAGGGAGGCTGGAGACAGCCCAGGGCTGAGGGCACCCCCTCCGTCAGGGGTAAGGCTGATGCCTGAAGCCTCAGTCTGCCCCACCCACCAAGGCAGAAGGCTGGCCCCTAAGGAGGAGTGATGCCCCAGGGTCGTAAAAGAGCAGTGGGAGCTCCTTAGAGTGGTGGGAGGTGGAGGCTGGTGGGGGTCAGGGTAGGAAGTGGGTACCTGGCTGGGTGAGCATCCCCAGATCTGTGGGGCTGGCTCCTTCTTCATCACCCTGACCTGCCCCTGTGCTGAGAGGACGGATGAGAGGGTGGGGCCAGAGGCTCTGCAAACTGTGCTCACCCCCTCCTTGAGGTTGTTCATGCTCAGTTCAGCTGTGCTTCTTCCTGGGGAGAAAGTCTTCGGAAGCTCAGGGAAAAGGCGGATCAGGAATGCGGAAGTGCCTGGGGAGGGAGCCGCTCAGAGGATTACAGTCCACACGGTCAAAGCAATCCACACAGCAGTCCCCGAGAGCAATCAAGGCTGGAGGAGGGGGTGCTGCAGGCCCCTGAGACTGGGGAAGGGGAGGAGACATGTTGAAAGGGGACAAGAAGGGACTTTTGGGGGTTGTGGACATCTCATTTGTTTGTTAAGCCATTTCCTTATCACACCAGCCCATAAGGTAGATAATATTTCTATCATACCTGTTGGAAAAGGAAGGCTCAGAGAGGGTGAGCAACCTGCCAGGGTCACACAGCAGACCTGGCATTTGAACTCAGGGCTCTGACTCATGGAAATCCCTCCACAGCAACAGAAAAGATCACAGAGAGGCTGGGGCCAAAGTCAGATTCTGCCTAGCTCCCAGCTGGCCTGTGGCCAGCCCTGCCATGATTTCTTCTAAGGCTGTTAGTCTTTGAAGAATAGCAAAGCCCAGGAGTGAGTTCATCTGCTACCATGAAGTGAGTTGTTTCTGAGACGCACTTCTGGGAGGTTTGACATCGCTGTCACAGAAGGGACTGAGCAGAAACTGCTGCTACAAATACGTCTTGTTTGAGAGTGAGCTGGGGCTGGGGCTGGGTGAGCTCGGAGGCCCTTCAGGTCTGGGGTTCCTTCATTCCAAGTCTCTTTCCTTTTACGGGCCTCAGTTTCCTCCTCATGAGAGGTGGAGCAGTGGTTCCCAAACACGACGTTGGAAGTGTGTTAAAATGCAGATTCCTGGGCTCGACTCTACAGCTCTCCCAGCAGCCACCTTCCCAGGTGAGCAGACCCTTGGGAAGGCATCACCTCAAGACCCCTGCATCCTTCCTGCAGAGTTCTGGGATTAAGCTAAGTCCTGGGAAGGTAGGACGGGCCTGGGCCTCCCACCTCCCTTTGCTGTAGGGTCAGTCCTGTCTCTGCTCCCTCAACCCCTAGTTCCTGTCCATTTCTTTTGAGACAGCTTTTCTGTCTCAGGTCCTCTAAACCTGCTCTCAGGTCCTCACTTCCTGTCACCTGGGCAGCAGAGTATGTTTTCTTCAACAGCACCCTCCCTAAGAGACTCTTCAAATCATTTATTTGTCATGATGCATGATAGTTAAATGAAATAACGGAGGCAATGAAGCACCCACTCAGAGGCCGGCACCTGGTGCACCTTTGACAAGTGGCACTTTCATCTCGAGGACAGTTGGGAGGAGCTTGCATGGATGAGTGGGGACGTGGGTGTGCTGACATGCAGGCGCTGTCTGGCAGCAGGTTAGATTAGAGGTGGAGGGGGCACAGCGGTATGGACAATTAAACTAGGACTCAGGGACACTCTGCCCCAGGACTGGGCAGGCGAGTGCTCTGGGAGGTGATGGTGTTGACCTGACCAGGGACCCATGCCCTTTCACCCCTTTGTTGTTGTTGTTGTTTGAGATGGAGTTTTGCTCTGTTGCCCAGGCTGGAGTGCAATGGCTCGATCTTGGTTACTGCAACCTCTGCCTCCCAGGTTCAAGTGATTCTCCTGCCTTAGCCTCCCGAGTAGCTGGGATTACAGGCATGCGCCACCGAGCCTGGCTAATTTTTGTATTTTTAATAGAGACAGGGTTTCACCATGTTGGTCAGGCTTGTCTTGAACTCCTGACCTCAGATGATCTGCCCGCCTTGGCCTCCCAAAGTGCTGGGTTTACAGGTGTGA